GGTTTGTGCAACCAGGAGAACGGACCACAGTTCTTCGATCAAGCCAAGAGGATGTGCGTTGAGCGGACTGCTTGAAGTAATGAAGATGAAAAACCTTCTCAATTTCTTGCACTTGGTACTGTTTCTGAACTTCCTGTTTCATGATTGGTCATTCCTTATTTGGCAGTCATATTCACCTCGGGGTCACGTGATGATGGACTTTTGTGCCGCAGTCCGGAATTTCCTTTACACATTCCCGGACTTCTTCAGCGTATTCTATAACTGGTTGTGGCCATCTAGAAATCCAAATTTAGACATTCAAGTTTCTTTCATGTGTTCAAGGAATCAAATTTAACAAATGCGCGTCCTAAATAGGATTTCTAGAGTCTTTGTGATTTTACGTGAATAAAAATTTAAGTCATTACCATGAAAACCGTCTGTTGCCTAAATTATATTGGAGTTTGTGAACAATATTGTGTTCTGTATGGTACCAAGCTTGTATTAAACACTTGAAGTATTGACCTGCCCGTCATTGAATGTGTACACACTAACTCTGTAAGTCCCATTGCAGCCGGTATAAACACCCGGTTTATTTATTTCTGAATCCTTGTAATTATGATCAATGTGTTGTGTTTGTGTGTTGTGTAAACCGTGTTGTGTAATTTGATTGTAAATCTAAACTCAATTCCCCAGCGGATTCGGGTTTTATTCTCGCTTAGAATATCCGTTAATATGAGTTCAGTGTAAATTGAACATTGTATGTTGTAAATATGCTTGATTGAATAAATATTTCTACCAATTATTTCTTTTCTCGGTGTCTATTAACCAATCACATTCTATCTTGTAGTGTCAGCAAGGGGGTAGAGTCTCGGGTACACTGTGCCAAATATCTTCTTATTCCTACTCAAATCGAGTTACCAACCCACCCATTCATTCACCAATCCACCCAATCACTTATTCAACCACAGTCGGACTCAATCATACCAAATGCCACCCACCCACCCAATCACTCACTCACTCACTTAACCAACCAACCACTAAACCATACCACCTACCCACTCATTCAACCAACCAACCAGTCAACAATAATACCCAACCACCCACTCACTCACCCATCCATCCACCTACTCACTCACTCAACCAACCACTCAACCATGACAACCCACCCACCCACCCACCTACTCACTAACTCAACCAACCACTCAACCATACCACCCACCCACCCAATCACTCACTCACTCACTTAACCAACCAACCACTCAACCATACCACCCACCCCCTATCCACCCACTCGCTCACACATCCACCCACCTACTCACTCACTCAACAAACCACTCAACCATAAAACCCACCCACCCAACCACTCACTCACTTAACCAACCAACCACTCAACCATACCACCCACCCACCTACTCATTCACTCAACCAACCACTCAACCAGTAAACGCACCAACCCACCCACTCACTCACTTAACCAACCAACCGCTCAAACATACCACCCACTCACTCACTCAACCATACCATCCACCTACCTACTCACTAACTCAACCAACCCCTCAACCATAACACCCACCCACCCACCTACTCACTCACTCAACCAACCACTCAACCATAAAACCCACCCACCAACCCACTCACTCACTTAACCAACCAATCGCTCATCCATACCACCCACTCACTCACTCACCCATACCACCCACCCACCTACTCACTCACTCAACCAACCCCTCAACCATAACACCCACCCACCCAACCACTCACATACTCAACCAACCACTCAACCATACCACCCATCCACTCACCTACTCACTCACTCAACCAACCACTCAACCATAAAACCCACCCACCAACCCACTCACTCACTTAACCAACCAATCGCTCAACCATACCACCCACTCACTTACTCAACCATACCACCCACCCACCTACTCACTCACTCAACCAACCACCCAACCATCACACCCACCCACCCACCCACTCAACCATACCAACCACTCACTCAACCATACCATCCACCAACATACTCACTCACTCAACCAACCACTCAACCATAACACCCACCCACCCACTCACTCAACCGTAACACCCACCCACCCACTCAACCATAACGCCCAGACTCACTCACTCACTCACTCAACCATCCACTCAACCAACCAACCACCCCACCCAGCCACTCACTCACTCAACCATAAACCTACTCCCTCACTCATACCACCCAAACTTCCTCACCTACCGACTTACTCACCTCTGTCACTTAACAACAATCTGTTCATCTGTGCGCATATTGGAGGACTGCTATTGATGCACCAACACCCTCTCTTTGTTTGAATGGTAAACCTACACGCATCACGACTCAGCACAAAGTAGGCAGCTGTCAGTGACGTCCTATTTAGTGGGAACAACACTAATGCAAACTTTCATACTTGATTTTTGTGAGGCCATGTCCTGTCAGTGGTAAGTTATAAAGTAGCCAGTGACAGATGTTCAACATACACGATAGTTGTCGAGACCATATTGTGCTGAATTTAATGCACGCACCAGACTGAAGTCATCAGCCTCTGTTTTATTGCTTTGATAGCACGTCTGCCTGAGACCGCCTTCGTGGGGTAGTGGATAGCGCGTCTGCCTGAGACTGCCTTCGTGGGGTAGTGGATAGCGCGTCTGATTAGAGACCGCCTTCGTGGGGTAGTGGATAGCGCGTCTGCCTGAGACCGCCTTCGTGGTGTAGTGGATAGCACGTCTGCCTGAGACAGCTTTCGTGGTGTAGTGGATAGATTGTCTGCCTGAGACCGCCTTCATGATGTAGTGGATAACGCGTCTGCCTCGAGAGTGGAAGGTCGATGCTTCGGCTCTTGGTCGCGTCATAACAAAAGACGTTAAAGGATGGTACTTGTTTCTCTGCCTGTCGCTCGACATTAAGCGGCTAAAACAAGGACTGGTCGGGTCAGAGTCAACCACACACAAACACTCCATCTTTCATTGCTCAGAACAAATGAAGCTCAGAAAGTTATGACTGTGTGCTAGTATGTGTCCGTGCGCACGCGTGTCTGTGTGCGTGCGCGCGCGTGATTGTGTGTCTGTGCGCGCATGCATGTGTGCGTCCGTGCGTGTATACTTGTGTGTGCGTGTGCGTGCGGTTGGTAGTGCATGTGTCCCTGCGTGTATGTAGATTGAGCTCTCTACACCACAGACTAGCTATCCCTGCGCATCAACTATCGCTGAGTGCGGCGTAAAACAACAAACCAACCCTGCACATCAACAAATGTATCTGTTGTTCAGATAACAATATGTGTATGTCCTTTGAGGTGGAACACGATGACACCCAATCCTAATACATATGGGACATTCCAGTTAAGAGCGGACCGCCTCCGTGGTCTAACGGATAGATTGTCTGCCAGGGAGCGAAATGATGGTGGTTGGATTCATGGCCGCGTCACATCAAAGACCTTTAAAGATACTACTTGTTGTTTCTCAGCCTGGCATTCAACATCAAGGTGATAGTTTGAAATGCGAGAACAAAACACATTTATGAGTTTTTTGTGTGTGCAGCTCCTGAAACCTTAGGATCCAAATACTTCGCTTTTTTACAAAGATGTTTATAATAATGTTTAGATATTGGGGTTGAACAGAATTTATGTATTACCTAAATATTTTTACTTGAAAGAAGTATCAACCCTTGTTCTTATCCTCATATTCATCCTTTATACTCCTTAATACATAGGGGCGGTCGGGTAGCCTAGTGGTTAAAGCGTTCCCTCGTCACGCCGAAGACCTGGGTTCAATTCCCGACATGGGTACAATGTGTGTCCCCCGCCGTGATATTGCTGGAATATTGCTAAAAGCGGCGTAAAACCATACTCACTCACCTTAATACAAATGTTATATATATTATATGACAAATTATTCCAAGCAACTCGTGCTATCCTTTTTCATACCAAGTTTTAATACATACCAGAAATTACAGATAACCACATGCGCATTTCCCATATCTAAATATACCCTGGTATTTAAACCCTACATTTAAAGAGGGAGATGTATAACATATCTACCACAAGCCGCTGCCCTGTAGCCGTTATAGCGCTGTGAAGGTAAGGTAATATCCATTTTATGTACCAGACGGTACATGTCAGGCTGTATAAAAAAATAAATGTTTTTTTTAAATAAAAATGAGGAAAGAGTTAGAATTTTAAAATTATTTAATTAAAAACCAAAAGTGGGAACACTATCTATTATTTTCTTGACTTTGCCAAAAATACCAACACAAACAATTGTGCACACTTTGCACTCTGCTCTATATATAATGTGTATTTTATGGATAACGAAATCATAAAGCGTTGAAAAAAAATGATTATTTTTTGTTTTTATTTGACTTAAAGTGACGCTCAGATGTCATTTTATATTTAGCCATATTATGGGTGTAGTTTTGTTGTGCGGAGTCATCGTATGATACATCAAAATTCGCCAATATGGTAGTGGTATATTATTTAACTTATATAAAACATATCAGAACAATTATATTTAATACATACTTTTGTATTCGCCGTTTCAACTTCAGTTCTCCAAGGCATGCACACTGTATATGGCTGACACTTGTCTGTGTCGGGGTATATGAGTGAGTGAGTGAGTGAGTGAGTATGGTACAGGTGGGTATTTTATTTTTTCATATTATAAATGCCATTTCAGGGATATGATCTATTATTAAAATGATATCACCAGGCACGTCACGACATGTCTCCTCCTACTAACACCACCCACCCCCCCCCCCCCCCCCCCCACCCACCCACCCCCCACCCCCATCTCACTAGCCTATCGCCGCGGTGATGTACAAGCCGTCAGTCAGTTGGATCGCTGATTTGTCACCAGGTGGCGCACGTGACATCACATCATGAACGCGAGTTCAATCAGCTGTCAGATTTGACAAACAGAATCCTCTACAGCGGTGACGTTACAAAAAACAAGCCAGGAAACTATATACCTTGTGGGCGTTCCATGTCTGTTATAGGTATAAATACGCCGTTATCTCTCACTCAGATCAGAATTCACAGGAATATACGAGAAAACTGTTTAAGCCCAGTGAGTTCACGTATAACTGTACTTTAGGTGAATTTGTGTCGCTGCAGTTCCATTTCACCATGGCATTTCGAATTGTACTCACTTGCTTAATCGTGGCCATGGCAACCGCTTCAACATCAGTGGGTAGTTGTGTGGTTAAAGGCAACCCCGACTTCAGACCAGATCCCGATGACTGTTCGGTCTTCTATGTGTGCACCAATGAGATCCTGTACAAGTTCAACTGTTCAAACAGCGTGTTCGACCCCGAGACCAAAACATGCGTCGGCCAGGGATCCATCTACGACAATTGTAAGTACTGTGTATTAAACTCGATATTCAGAGGGTGGCGGGGTAGCCAAGTGGTTAAGTAGTTCTCTATCAAGCCGAATGCCCGGGTTCGATGCCCTAAATGGTGTTAAGCTGGTGTCCCCCGTGTGATATTTGTGGGATATTATTAAAAGCGGCGTAAAACCACACTCACTCACTATAATCAGAAGATTTGATAAATTTACAAAGCATCGATTCCATCTTCGTGTACCGAGATATATGGGCAGTTGGGTAGGCCTGTGGTTGAAGCGTTCACTCGTCACGTCGAAGGGTTCTAGTCATGATGTGGGTACCCAGGTTAAAGTTCGCTCCTGGTACCATCCACGATCTTACTGAAATATTGCTAAAAGCGATGTTAAACCATCCGCGATCTCACTGAAATATTGCTGAAAGCGATGTTAAACCATCTGCAATCTCACTGAAATATTGCTAAAAGCGATGTTAAACCATCCACGATCTCACTGAAATATTGCGAAAAAAGCGATGTTAAATCATCCACGATCTCACTGAAATATTGCTAAAAGCGATGTTATACCATCCGCGATCTCACTGAAATATTGCTAAAAGTGATGTTAAAACTTGCTTATTTACAGGAATTGGCTGAAACATCAAGTTCAAAGTTAAATTTGATTTCACTTACTGGCCTTCTTGAAATATAATAGATTTTTCCGATGCAGTTAGTGAAAAGACGAGAGTGTAATCTACTTCTTTAAAATACAATTTGTATCTTGAATGTAAATAAAGGTTACTTTAGGAAATCTACCAATAATCATGTACAGAAACCGAGCGACCGACAACTTCTTCTCAAAGCCAAGATACTAATGCTCTTTGTTATCTAAAGCTCAGCCAAGGTGATATAAAAATCAGAACAAAACTGACACAAAACATCTTCGCTCAAGCGGGCAGTATATTGCAAGTACTTTATACTTAATACGAAATATGACAGCCGGCCAAAAACAAATGTGCTACAACGCACAGCTGACGCTGCACGGCAATAATTTGTTTAAATGTTCTTGTCAGCAAACCGCGAAATGCTTTAAAAGTGTAAGACTTGTGTGATGCAACGTCAATCCTCGTCGTCGTCGCTGCTGCATGTCAGCGTTATTTCGACAACGTCTTAGCTGAGAATAAAGTCGAGGCGGCGTAGTTGTGTACACTGTCAGTCGTCCCTGTCGCCGAGGTGCGACACCGACGAGAGTCGTTGTACATGACAGTGATATATTTCAGGTTACAGCAGTTATGCAGGACTTGCCCCGGGACTAATAAGAAACCTAACTAGTCCGTAACCTTGTTTATCTGGAACCCCCGACATTCCGGACACCTTGTTAATCCGGGAACCCGGCAATCCGGATTCCATGTCCTTCCAGAAACCTTGAAAGTCCGGACTCCCGTCAATCCGGATTCCAGGTCATTCCGGAAGCCTTGATAGTACGGACCCCCGTTAGTCCGAATTACATGTCAGTCCATAAACCTTGATAATCCGGAAATCATGTAATCCGGAATACCCTTTTTATGAATCCAAATTAGAACGGAAACATCACTTAACAGGAAAACCCGTTTGGCGATTGCTTCATATATGGAGGCACATGTGCCTGTGAGATAAACACTCACCCCATCGGGTAATTAAAAAAAGAAGATATATTTGATTACAAATTATGAATATTGTTCGCCAGGTACCAAGAAGGACACCCGAGCGGAGACGGTCATCTGTCTTCCAGAGTCCCGTGCCTTGATCCCCCACCCCACCAACTGTGCCCAGTACTACAACTGCTCTGCTCCGACAAGGTTCAGGTGGCCAGAACATCTGAGCGAGTGCCCCTACCCCCAGTTTTACAACGTCATCACTAAGCGGTGCGAGCACTACACCATGGTGAAGTGTGGTGAGAGAGTCGAAGCCATCAGTCACTGTGAGTATACCATTAACCATGCCATTCATACCGGAAAGGGGGGCACGGGTGGCCCAGTCGTCTAAGGCGCCGCGATTCGCTGTTCAGAGTTGCGTCCCTTGAACACGCCAGAAACCTATGATTGTGGGTTCGAATCCCGGTTCGCCCCGATTATGTTTCTAGGTTTGTCAGCACCATACCCGTGCTCGTGGGTTTCACCGAAGTGATAAACGTCTGAGACCTGCATCACTTCGGGCTTTCCTCCCACATTAAGCTTACACGCCGCGATATAACTGGATTACTGGAATACTGTTAAAAGCGGCGTTAAACCCAACTCACTCACTCACTCCAGTACTCATACTCGGGGAGGCATTGAAACAACCAGATTGGTCGACACTCGGCTGTTATAAAGTGCTTGGTTCTATTCTGCTTTGCAATCCACGACCATTGATTAAGGTTCCACTAACTTCACCTCAGTTTCTCTGCCCTGGCTGGAATTGCTTAAAACGGCATCTCACTTATTCACTTTCTTACTCACATTACAGTAAACTACGTTTATAACGAACACGCTTATAACGAACTGACCGATATAACGAACATATGTTTTAGTCCCGGCCATTTGTTGCATATATGCTGTATATATGCTTATAACGAACTACGGTTGTTACGAACTAAAATTAATGGTCCCTTTGAGTTCGTTATAACCGTATTTTACTGTATATGGTTCCGGGGCGGCGGGTAGTCTAGTGGTAAAAGCGATCACTCGTCAAGCCAAAGGCCGGCTTCGATTCCCACATGGGTACAATGTGCGGAATAAGGACTAAGCTGTATATATTTCTGATCTGCCTTGCCCGAGCGTGTCTTCGACAGGAGACACCTGTAGCTGTAAACTGGTAGTGGGGACGGGTGGTTAGACGCCAAATGCGCCGCATTTTGCAGGGTTGCGTCGCTTAGGCGTGCCAGAAACCTATGATCGAATCCAGTTTCGCCCTGATAATGTTTCTAAGTTTGTCAGCACCATACCCGTGCTCGTGGGTTTTACCAAAGTGGTAAACGAGTAAGACCTAAGGGGATTTCCTCTCATGTCAAGCAGGGGCGGTCGGGTAGCCTAGTGGTTAAAGCATTCGTTCGTCACGCCGAAGACCTGGGTTCGATTCTCGACATGGGTACAATGTTTGAAGCCCATTTCTGGTGTCCCCCGCCGTGATATTGCTGGAATAGTGCTAAAAGCGGCGTTAAACCATACTCACTCACTCTCATGTCAAGCTGCCACGACGTGATATAACTAAAAAACTGTTCAAAGCAGTCAGAACACTCACTCACTCATTCACTCTCTCTTTCTTACAGGCGACTACCGTGCGAACCAGTGCCTGGCTGCTCACTGTATCCCCTGCATGGTGCGCTTCCCAAGTTGCAAGGGTCTTCCCGACGGCTTGAACCACTGGGTGGGCAGGGAAGACTCACCCTACTTCGTCGTGTGTGAGGGTGGACGGATGGTGTATTCGGGTTTGTGCAACCAGGAGAACGGACCACAGTTCTTCGATCAAGCCAAGAGGATGTGCGTTGAGCGGACTGCTTGAAGTAATGAAGATGAAAAACTTTCTCAATTTCTTGCACTTGGTACTGTTTCTGAACTTCCTGTTTCATGATTGGTCATTCCTTATTTGGCAGTCATATTCACCTCGGGGTCACGTGATGATGGACTTTTGTGCCGCAGTCCGGAATTTCCTTTACACATTCCCGGACTTCTTCAGCGTATTCTATAACTGGTTGTGGCCATTTAGAAATCCAAATTTAGACATTCAAGTTTCTTTCATGTGTTCAAGGAATCAAATTTAACAAATGCGCGTCCTAAATAGGATTTCTAGAGTCTTTGTGATTTTACGTGAATAAAAATTTAAGTCATTACCATGAAAACCGTCTGTTGCCTAAATTATATTGGAGTTTGTGAACAATATTGTGTTCTGTATGGTACCAAGCTTGTATTAAACACTTGAAGTATTGACCTGCCCGTCATTGAATGTGTACACACTAACTCTGTAAGTCCCATTGCAGCCGGTATAAACACCCGGTTTATTTATTTCTGAATCTTTGTAATTATGATCAATGTGTTGTGTTTGTGTGTTGTGTTAACAGTGTTGTGTAATTTGATTGTAAATCTAAACTCAATTCCCCAGCGGATTCGGGTTTTATTCTCGCTTAGAATATCCGTTAATATGAGTTCAGTGTAAATTGAACATTGTATGTTGTAAATATGCTTGATTGAATAAATATTTCTACCAATTATTTCTTTTCTCGGTGTCTATTAACCAATCACATTCTATCTTGTAGTGTCAGCAAGGGGGTAGAGTCTCGGGTACACTGTGCAAAATATCTTCTTATTCCTACTCAAATCGAGTTACCAACCCACCCATTCATTCACCAATCCACCCACTCACTTATTCAACCACAGTCGGACTCAATCATACCAAATGCCACCCACCCACCCAATCACTCACTCACTCACTTAACCAACCAACCACTAAACCATACCACCTACCCACTCATTCAACCAACCAACCACTCAACAATAATACCCAACCACCCACTCACTCACCCATCCACCCACCTACTCACTCACTCAACCAACCACTCAACCATACCACCCATCCACCCACCTACTCACTAACTCAACCATACCACCCACCCACCCACCCAATCACTCAATCACTCACTTAACCAACCAACCACTCAACCATACCACCCACCCCCCTATCCACCCTCCCACTCATTCAACCAACAAACCACTCAACAATAACACCCAACCACCCACTCACTCACCCATCCACCCACCCACCTACTCACTCACTCAACAAACCACTCAACCATAAAACCCACCCACCCACCCACTCACTCACTTAACCAACCAACCACTCAACCATACCACCCACCCACCTACTCATTCACTCAACCAACCACTCAACCAGTAAACGCACCAACCCACCCACTCACTCACTTAACCAACCAACCGCTCAAACATACCACCCACTCACTCACTCAACCATACCACCCACCTACCTACTCACTAACTCAACCAACCACTCAACCATAACACCCATCCACCAACCCACTCACTAACTCAACCAACCCCTCAACCATAACACCCACCCACCCAACCACTCACTAACTCAACCAACAACTCAACCATACCACCCATCCACCCACCTACTCACTCACTCAACAACCACTCAACCATAAAACCTACCCACCAACCCACTCACTCACTTAACCAACCAATCGCTCAACCATACCACCCACTCACTCACTCAACCATACCACCCACCCACCTACTCACTCACTCAACCAACCACTCAGCCATAACATTCAACCACCCACCCACTCAACCATAACATCCAACCTCAACCATACCACCCACTCAACCATACCACCCACCCACCTACTCACTCACTCAACCAACCACTCAACCATACTACCAATTTATAATAATGTTTAGATATTGGCGTTGAACAGAATTTATGTATTACCTAAATATTTTTACTTGAAAGAAGTATCAACCCTTGTTCTTATCCTCATATTCATCCTTTATACTCCTTAATACATAGGGGCGGTCGGGTAGCCTAGTGGTTAAAGCGTTCCCTCGTCACGCCGAAGACCTGGGTTCAATTCTCGACATGGGTACAATGTGTGAAGCCCATTTCTGGTGTCCCCCGCCGTGATATTGCTGGAATATTGCTAAAAGCGGCGTAAAACCATACTCACTCACCTTAATACAAATGTTATATATATTATATGACAAATTATTCCAAGCAACTCGTGCTATCCTTTTTCATACCAAGTTTTAATACATACCAGAAATTACAGATAACCACATGCGCATTTCCCATATCTAAATATACCCTGGTATTTAAACCCTACATTTTAAAGAGGGAGATGTATAACATATCTACCACAAGCCGCTGCCCTGTAGCCGTTATAGCGCTGTGAAGGTAAGGTAATATCCATTTTATGTACCAGACGGTACATGTCTGGCTGTATAAAAAAATAAATGTTTTTTTTAAAATAAAAATAAGGAAAGAGTTAGAATTTTAAAATTATTTTATTAAAAACCAAAAGTGGGAACACTATCTATTATTTTCTTGACTTTGCCAAAAATACCAACACAAACAATTGTGCACACTTTGCACTCTGCTCTATACATAATGTGTATTTTATGGATAACGAAATCATAAAGCGTTGAAAAAAAAAGATTATTTTTTGTTTTTATTTGACTTAAAGTGACGCTCAGATGTCATTTTATATTTAGCCATATTATGGGTGTAGTTTTGTTGTGCGGAGTCATCGTATGATACATCAAAATTCGCCAATATGGTAGTGGTATATTATTTAACTTATATAAAACATATCAGAAGAATTATATTTAATACATACTTTTGTATTCGCCGTTTCAACTTCAGTTCTCCAAGGCATGCACACTGTATATGGCTGACACTTGTCTGTGTCGGGGTATATGAGTGAGTGAGTGAGTGAGTGAGTATGGTACTGGTGGGTATTTTATTTTTTAATATTATAAATGCCATTTCAGGGATATGATCTATTATTAAAATGATATCACCAGGCACGTCACGACATGTCTCCTCCTACTAACACCCCCCCCCCCCCCCCCCCCCCCCCCCATCTCACTAGCCTATCGCCGCGGTGATGTACAGGCCGTCAGTCAGTTGGATCGCTGATTTGTCACCAGGTGGCGCACGTGACATCACATCATGAACGCGAGTTCAATCGGCTGTCAGATTTGACAAACAGAATCCTCTACAGCGGTGACGTTACAAAAACAAGCCAGGAAACTATATACCTTGTGGGCGTTCCATGTCTGTTATAGGTATAAATACGCCGTTATCTCTCACTCAGATCAGAATTCACAGGAATATACGAGAAAACTGTTTAAGCCCAGTGAGTTCACGTATAACTGTACTTTAGGTGAATTTGTGTCGCTGCAGTTCCATTTCACCATGGCATTTCGAATTGTACTCGCTTGCTTAATCGTGGCCATGGCAACCGCTTCAACATCAGTGGGTAGTTGTGTGGTTAAAGGCAACCCCGACTTCAGACCAGATCCCGATGACTGTTCGGTCTTCTATGTGTGCACCAATGAGATCCTGTACAAGTTCAACTGTTCAAACAGCGTGTTCGACCCCGAGACCAAAACATGCGTCGGCCAGGGATCCATCTACGACAATTGTAAGTACTGTGTATTAAACTCGATATTCAGAGGGTGGCGGGGTAGCCAAGTGGTTAAGTAGTTCTCTATCAAGCCGAATGCCCGGGTTCGATGCCCTAAATGGTGTTAAGCTGGTGTCCCCCGTGTGATATTTGTGGGATATTATTAAAAGCGGCGTAAAACCACACTCACTCACTATAATCAGAAGATTTGATAAATTTACAAAGCATCGATTCCATCTTCGTTTACCGAGATATATGGGCAGTTGGGTAGGCCTGTGGTTGAAGCGTTCACTCGTCACGTCGAGGGGTTCTAGTCATGATGTGGGTACCCAGGTTAAAGTTCGCTCCTGGTACCATCCACGATCTTACTAAAATATTGCTAAAAGCGATGTTAAACCATCCGCGATCTCACTGAAATATTGCTGAAAGCGATGTTAAACCATCTGCAATCTCACTGAAATATTGCTAAAAGCGATGTTAAACCATCCACGATCTCACTGAAATATTGCTAAAAGCGATGTTAAATCATCCACGATCTCACTGAAATATTGCTAAAAGCGATGTTATACCATCCGCGATCTCACTGAAATATTGCTAAAAGCGATGCTAAACCATCCACGATCTCACTGAAATATTGCTAAAAGCGATGTTAAACCTTGCTTATTTACAGGAATTGGCTGAAACATCAAGTTCAAAGTTAAATTTGATTTCACTTACTGGCCTTCTTGAAATATAATAGATTTTTCCGATGCAGTTAGTGAAAAGACGAGAGTGTAATCTACTTCTTTAAAATACAATTTGTATCTTGAATGTAAATAAAGGTTACTTTAGGAAATCTACCAATAATCATGTACAAAAACCGAGCGACCGACAACTTCTTCTCAAAGCCAAGATACTAATGCTCTTTGTTATCTAAAGCTCAGCCAAGGTGATATAAAAATCAGAACAAAACTGACACAAAACATCTTCGCTCAAGCGGGCAGTATATTGCAAGTACTTTATACTTAATACGAAATATGACAGCCGGCCCAAAACAAATGTGCTACAACGCACAGCTGACGCTGCACGGCAATAATTTATTTAAATGTTCTTGTCAGCAAACCGCGAAATGCTTTAAAAGAGTAAGACTTGTGTGATGCAACGTCAATCCTCGTCGTCGTCGCTGCTGCATGTCAGCGTTATTTCGACAACGTCTTAGCTGAGAATAAAGTCGAGGCGGCGCAGTTGTGTACACTGTCAGTCGTCCCTGTCGCCGAGGTGCGACCCCGCCGAGAGTCGTTGTACATGACAGTGATATATTTCAGGTTACAGCAGTTATGCAGGACTTGCCCCGGGACTAATAAGAAACCTAACTAGTCCGTAACCTTGTTTATCTGGAACCCCCGACATTCCGGACACCTTGTTAATCCGGGAACCCGGCAATCCGGATTCCATGTCCTTCCAGAAACCTTGAAAGTCCGGACTCCCGTCAATCCGGATTCCAGGTCATTCCGGAAGCCTTGATAGTACGGACCCCCGTTAGTCCGAATTACATGTCAGTCCATAAACCTTGATAATCCGGAAATCATGTAATCCGGAATACCCTTTTTATGAATCCAAATTAGAACGGAAACATCACTTAACAGGAAAACCCGTTTGGCGATTGCTTCATATATGGAGGCACATGTGCCTGTGAGATAAACACTCACCCCATCGGGTAATTAAAAAAAGAAGATATATTTGATTACAAATTATGAATATTGTTCGCCAGGTACCAAGAAGGACACCCGAGCGGAGACGGTCATCTGTCTTCCAGAGTCCCGTGCCTTGATCCCCCACCCCACCAACTGTGCCCAGTACTACAACTGCTCTGCTCCGACAAGGTTCAGGTGGCCAGAACATCTGAGCGAGTGCCCCTACCCCCAGTTTTACAACGTCATCACTAAGCGGTGCGAGCACTACACCATGGTGAAGTGTGGTGAGAGAGTCGAAGCCATCAGTCAGTGTGAGTATACCATTAACCATGCCATTCATACCGGAAAGGGGGGCACGGGTGGCCCAGTCGTCTAAGGCGCCGCGATTCGCTG